CCAGATTATAGAAAATACTTGTAACTAATAAATTAAGATTGAGGTTGTTGTTATGGCATTGTTGTCACTTTGATCAAGATAATACATAAAATTTAGTAGAATTTCCTTGTGGAGCAATTTAAACAATAAAATGATCAAGTGAATTTAAACTTAAATAAAAAGTTGGGTTGAGAAATATGCTCGAATGGATTGTATTATCATCGTTTAAACGACTCTCGTCTATATGGAAGTCAATCAGTCGACTTGATATGTTGTAGGAAATATGTTTCTTGTTATTGGTATGGATTATCCTAAAATTGTCATCATTAACTTGTAGAGGTTGCATCAACCGTTAAGGTGGAAAAAACTTAAAGCTTGATGATCTCATTTGAATTTTTACGACCATGTGTTTATTTTGTACTGTTTTTATGAAATGTTGCAATTTGTCAGAAAAAATATTGTAAATCAGTTGAAGCATGCAATTATACGTTATGACTGAAAATGCATGATAATGATTTTATTGCATTTGGTGTTGCATTGACTTGTACATATGGGAGTGGGTTCATGAGACTGATGGTCGGCATGATGCACTAAGAACCGTCAAAGTTGTGAACATGCCTTGTTTTACTTTAAAATCGCTTTTAGTACATTTTATCGAGCTTCATGCATTATGTAGTTCATAATCATGCTATGAAAAATGAGGCATAGGAAAACCCAATTTTGTCCAACAACACTAAAAAGTGTGATCATACTGTAAATTTAAATCTAAAAAAGCAGACAGGAGTATTTATCTTGGCTTGTGTTTAGTTTACAAGGTTAAATGTGATTTTGAAGCATGCCTACCACTACTAGAGATATGGGCATTATCGACAATTTTTACCGACGGCCTACACATCGAATATTTACCGAACGGATAACCGACCACCATTCGATGAAAACATAATTACAAAACGCCATGATTATTTACCGAGGGGCAATTGATGGTTTTTCGTGTGAAAGAAGTGCATCAGTAATCCATTGCAAGTTGTTGAGGCATTATCAACTACCTTGCGATGGCATAACTTTTCTTTATAATTCACCGGTTAGAGTAAGCATTTTTATTTAATTTTTACGTACCCTCGATAATTCTTCAGTAATAAATTCTCGCGGAATACCAACATGTATTTTTAAAATTTTATTTCTTTTCTTATTTGATAAAACTTATCTTAATCGTTGGTGGTTATGTATCAGTAATTTATTTGCATTAAGGATTGAATACCGACAAACACTTTAAAAGTTTAGATTTTTTATTTATATAATACTATTTACAGAAACCATGGTTATTCATTGATAATGGTTTAATATTATTGACAAATTTCGAGATTAATTTTTTTATTTAATATAATTTATTGAAACCAACATTAATTAGTTATAATCATCCGTGGATTAGCGACAGTTACTAAGTTCTTTTTGCATTTTTTTTAGTGATCGGGTTCTAATGGTCTTGATGGATATTTTTTAGGGTTATTTATAAAAATAACCGGTTTACACAATTTTTTGCCACAAAATAACCATATTTTAGAGGTTTTGCCAAAATAACCACCCGGATCACCCCCGGGGGCGATCCCCCTTAAAAGTCTTAAAAAAAATTCCTCAAAAGTCGAGATTACTGTTCACCTCGTTAACCGTGTTTGACCTCGTCCCCGGGGGGATCCGTACTGTACCGGGGGCGATCCGGTTTTTTTTTTTTTGTATTTTTTATAAAATTGAAGTTGTATTTTTTAACTTTTTTGGAACCAAATTTCATGGGAAAAAGTTTAAAAATAAATCTTTATAATTATGGAGACGCAAAAATTATTTTTCTCTGTTTTGTGTTTCGGAAATCAGATATAATATCTGATTGACGAAATTTGACCTCTATTTTTTTTTTATTCAACAATTAAGGGGTGTTTTTAATTAAAAAAAAAAAGAATTGATTTTTTTCTAATACCAATTTCACTATAAATACCAACCTCCTAATTCATAATTTTTCACACACTCTCTTCCATTTCTTTTCTCATATATTTTACTCTCACAACCCTTAACCCATTAAACACAATAAAACATCACAACCTTTAACCCACTAAACACAATCAACCATCACAAAACATGAAATCACGTGAAAGTGATAATGTTTGTGTGTATCTTCGAAGTGGCGGTTTATTCCAAAATATAAATATTGTTTTAGAGTACCTTCCGATAACCTCCCCCACATGTGCAATACGTTTATCTTCGCCAATAACGTATTCTGGGGTCGTCAAACGTGTGAYGAAAAAGTTAAGTTTACGTGGTCCTTTCAATTTATTTTTTAAAACGAATACGTTATATCAGTTTATGGACGACGATGATGTGGTAATCCTCCACAATGCCATTCGTCAAACTTTACCAGAAATGTTGACACTATATGTTGTCGACAATGGAGGTTATGAAGGAAATCCATCAAATGCAAACCCGGGAGGTTCAAACACTTTTTACACCGGTGCTGTGAGCACACTCTTCCCCGACGTTAGCGTTGCAAACCCATATGGTCCAARCACACTCTTCMCTACCGGTTGTGCTYCTGGTCTAAATCAGAGCACTTTCTTCCCTARCAGTAGAAGTGGTGAAAACCGAARCACCTTCTTCCCCTACGATGGTGCTGGAAATTCATATCTTGAACAAAAAGTTACCGTTAAACCTGACAGTTATTTTGTTCAARACTTRAACATGCCTCCRATGCARTCTCCCAACCCGTACCYKATCCGGTMTCTCGAACTGTCAAAACCGTTGTGGGAGGTAGATATGGCAGAAGATGTTTCTGTTGCTGCCGAAATTTTGAACATACCCGAAGACGACGATAATTCCGATTCTGAAGATATCAAGCCGGTAAGGAATAGTTTTTGGAGTATGCCTGACCCACCACCTTGTCCGGACCCAGTTATCAAAAGTAGAAAGGGAAACACTCCCTACCAGCCTACATCTCATGTCAAAGTTCTACAAACCGGTGTTTCCATAGTAGCGGCGGACGGTGGTGGATGGCGGCGGCAGACAGTGGTTGGTGGTGGAGGAGGGTGGTGGACAGCGGCTCTTGACGGTGGTCGTTGGCGGCGGAGGGTGGTTGTTGGAGCCGGAAGGTGGTGAGGGGCGGCCGATGACGGTGGTCGGTGGCGGCGGATGGTGCCTGACGACGGCGGATGGTGACCGACGGCGGATGGTGACCGACGGCGGCGGACCACGGTGGTCGGTGGCGGCGGGAAGTCGTCGATGTCGTTATACGGTAGTCTATGACGGTATGTCGAAAAATGGCTAGGATATTGGTCGGGATGGTCGGTGAGATGGTCAAAGCTCGGTTTTTCGCTCGGTTTTTCCAGAGAAAACGGGCGGTGGGATGGTCGGTGGTGGGGATGAATGGTCGCCCACGTGCAATTTATATAAAACGTTAAGTAATAAAACAAAATCATCGTCAAATCGGTGTCAAATCGACGTCATAGAGTTGTCATATCATCAAAAACCGCGAAATCAGATATAATGTGTGATTTTTCTCCGAAAATCAACTAAATATTTTTTTTCCGTAACCACAATTATCATCCGGTTATTTTAATTTGAAATTGAATAAGACACACTTTATGTATTTTTCAATTTTTATTAAAAACACCCCTTAAGTGTTAAATAAAAAACACAAAATGACAAAATAGAGGTCAAATTTCGTAAATCAGATATTATATCTGATTTACGAAATCCAAAACAGATAAAAATAATTTTTGCTTCTTCATAATTATAAACCTTTATTTTTAAACATTTACCCATGAAATTTGGTTCTAAAAAGTTAAAAAATATAACTTCAAGTCTTCAATGGTGTATCAGTTTTATTAAAAATACCAAAAAATTAAAAAAAATACAACAATTATCATTCGGTTATTTTATAACGAAAAACTGTGAAATTTAAAATTAAATATATAAAAAGACACACTTTATGTATTTTTCCATTTTGATTAAAAACACCTCTTAATTGTTGAATAAAAAACAAAAAAATAGAGGTCAAATTTCGTCAATCAGATATTATATCTGATTTCCGAAACACAAAACAGAGAAAAATAATTTTTGCGTCTCCATAATTATAAAGATTTATTTTTAAACTTTTTCCCATGAAATTTGGTTCTAAAAAGGTTAAAAAAATACAATTTCAATTTTATAAAAAATACAAAAAAAAACCCGGATCGCCCCCCGTACAATACGGATCGCCCCCGGTACAGTACGGATCGCCCCGGGGATGATGTCAAACACGGTCAACGAGGTGAACAGTCATCTCGACTTTTGAGGAAATTTTTTTTAAGACTTTTAAGGGGGATCGCCCCCAATGTGTGTGGATCGCCCTGAGTGGTTTATTTTGGCAAAACCTCTAAAATGTGATTATTTTGTGGTAAAGGGTTGTGTAAACCGGTTATTTTTATAAATAACCCTAATTTTTTAATCATTAGGTCCATATTTGTTTTACATGGATCGGTAGATCAATGTTAGTGGATATTAATGGATCAATTAAAATCGGCCTTTGTGGGCCTCAATGGATCATGATCAATATCGTTGGTTTTACTACGTCTTATTAGGCTTTAATAAGTCATGTTTGTTTTGAATTGCATTTGTTTTGTTTTTCACCTTTCTTATGATATTGAAATCAAAAAAGAAAATGAAAAATAAGCAAATAAATAAAAAAGGTTCTAACAATACGTAGAAAAACAAAAATGCCCCTAACTTGAGGGACACATGGGTCAATTAACTGATTTTCTTAACGACCGTTAGTAATAGGATCCAAATTGTTACAAAACTGTAACTACAAGAATATGTTTTATTAAACTTTTATTTTAAGAATAAAATCGAAAAAAGCAAATTTAATCGTAAGGGGATCGGAAATGATTCAACGTATATAAACGAAATATTTTCAAAAATTTAGAAAAAAAAAATCCAAAGCAAAATAAAATGTACAATCCTTGTAACACAAAGTACAAGAGGCTATAAATTTTTGTAGCTCTAATAAATATATAACTTATGGGGGAAAAAAAGTTACCATCTCTTTTTTTCAATGGATTAAAGCAACATTTCCACATGTAAATGTAAGGACATCTACATGTATAATGATCATATTCTCTCTTTGTACATATGAAATTACCATCCTGTCCTCAGTTTGGTAGAGTGGAATCCTTTCCTTTTGTGAACATGAATCTCCCTGTGGAAACAGATCTCTTCATTCTTTTACTTGTCATTGTTGATTTACTATTTTCTCCCTGTTCATGATCATGATCATGATCATGATCATGATCATGATCATGATCATCATGATCCTCTTCATCAATCCCTAGTATATCAGCAATCAAAAGATTTGGATTTTGGCAAGACATTGATCCCAATGAAGTTGATCTTCTAATAATTTCTTGGTCATCTCCATTTCCCATGTTCATGGGAATCCTCATTCCATCGACATGTAGTTGATCATGAAAAGGGTATTTTGGTAAAATCTCGTTTGAGACGACGTTGACCACAACAGCTTCATCTCTATGATCACCGCTTGGTGTCTCTTCCACAACAAGAACAAGATCATTCCTCCTTTGGAACACAAGGGAAGACACGTGGAGATTGGAAGACGTAATCTCTGATTCCAGAGGTCGTCGGAATGGAACTGGGATTCCGGGCATGACATGGGATCGGCATAGCGGACAATTGGAATGAGACCTGAGCCAAGCGTCAATGCACGGAAGATGGAATGCATGACTGCACTTGGGCAACAGTCTTAAACTCTCACCTTCTTGAAACTCGCAAAGACATACCGCACAATCTCCAGATCCTTCCACCACTCCGTCGCCTTTACGGTACCGGCAAACGGCGATGGATTTGATCAGCGACTCGTCTAGCCCAGTTGCTGCGTGCTGCCATTGGTCATGGGTGGTCGACGACTGATTCCGGTGGTCGGAATCTTGAGACGACGGATTCAACTGGTGTCCCGATCTCCGTTTACAATACTTGGAGATGATGGTGTAGTAACTTATCAAAAGGAAAGCACTTGCTAGGATTCCGATCACCACAATGATGAGAGGGGAGAAGTTCATGCCGGAACCGTCGTCATCTTGGGACTGGAAGGGCGGCGGTGGTGGGAATATGATGTAACACCATTGTGGGCAGTACATGCTACATATGCCTTGTGAACAGTCTCTATACCCATTATATGGTGGCCAATTGGTGTTGGCCATGGAACCCATGACCACCAAGATTCTGATGGATCAACTCAGCAAGAAGTTGCAGGTGGCTATGTAGTTCCGGAAAGGGGGAATGGAAATAAAGATGGAGAGGAGTAAAGGGAGGGGTCTTAGATGAGAAGGGAAGCAAAGTAAGGGGTAGGGGTGATGTGTCTCTTAATATTCTTGTGTTGGATTTACTTTAGCTTTTGGTGGTCTACCATCTTCTTGAAATCTTGCCTTTAATTTTTGGGGTTTACTTTATCTTTAATTTTTTGGGAAGTGAAAATGATGGATAGCTTGTTGACATGACCATTAGGGTTAGGGGTGGTTGATATTGATACTTGGATGGTGATCACTCAACCCCCGAGTTGTGGCAAAGATTCTTACAAGTAGTTGGTGAAATGTGGATGGGTGGGGTTCAACCAACCTCGATAACTATCAACCCAAGAGAATATTGAAACCATTCAAAGTCGTCATTCATATTTCTTTATCTTACTTTTATATATATATATATATTAAAAATGATTAATCATATCAATTAAATATATAAATAAACCATTAAAAAGGATAAAGAAAAGGATATAATATTATATACTCTCTTGGTTATATTTTATTCCGAATTAATGGTACTAACGCTATGGAATGTATACTTTTTTTCGTAAATCAGGGTCGAAAAATTAATGTAACCCGAAAGAAATTTTGAAATTTACAAAGTATTTTGTTATATTAGTATGGCTTAACGTTTATTATGTATTACAATGTGTTTATCACTTGGTTATGAGCAATATTTTTTTTTTATATAGAGTGGGGAGGCAAGTTATCAGCAATATTCTGAATAACCCGTTATGACATAACATATGTTATGGTGTTGAGGCCTGACTTTTTGGTTCCTAGTTAACCTCCATGGCGCGAATATGAGGGAGCATTTGGTTCGCAGATTCTGAAGGAATCTGATAAAATTGGAATGTTGAATTTTATTTACCAAATTTCATTCTCTCGTTTGGTTTATTATTTTTCACGAAAGGAATATTTAAAATCCTACAAATTCCACAAATAAAATAATTTAACATTCTTTAGCAACTACATGGTATTTTGATGAAATGAAATTCTCTATTTTCATAATATCAAATATGCCCTTAACCCAATATACCTTAATCTCATAAAACCCAATATGACCATCGTCGACGACCTTCAACCGCCGTCGATCTGAATCACCGCCGACCACCGCCATCTGAACCACCATCGACCATCGCCATTTGAACCACCGTCGACTACCACCACCGACCACCACCGATCTTATCCACCATCAATCTGAACTTGATCTATATCACCACCATGGACCACCACCAATCTGAACCAATGTTGACCATCCCATCGGAACCACTATGGACCACCATTGATCTGAATCACCGCCAACTACCTAAAGATCTGAATCATCGCCGACCATCGTCGATCTGAACCACCGCCTACCATCACCGATCTGAACAACCATCGATCTGAACCACCCTCGATCTAAACCACATCCAACCATCACCACCTGAAGCACTATGAACCACCATCGATCTAAACCACTGCCGACCACCAGCTACTACCAGCGATCTGAATCACCATCTGACACCGCCGACCACCAGCGATCTTAATTTTTATTTTTTAAAAAATTAAAATTTTCAAAAAAAACCATGTTGGTCATTTACCAATATTTCATTCCAATTCCAAAGCTATATTATGTAAACCAAACAGACATATTTCGTTTCAATGTATACTAACCAAACAGGTGGTCAAACCTGACAACACTTATAAAATAAAATCCTATAAACCCGATTTTGTTGTAGTGCACGCACCCACACACATATATAATACAAATCTTATAAATTTGAGTGTGACCTCAAATGATGTCATTATATGTACCAAAAGTATATCATTGATTGATGATGAAACAAATTACTGATACTACATAAAAATGTTCTAGTAGATAATATTAATTTAGAAATGAGTACTCATTGATTTTGCGTCCAGGAATACTCGAAAAAACGGTTTTATATGAATTCAATGTTATTTCTGATGATAAAAAACGATATATTGAAAAAATATCGTACTTATCAATGGCCCCTTTTACATTTCACCCAGGGCCTAAAAAATGTCAGGAACGGGTCTGGATAGAGAAAGACATAGGTATAGAATTTCCTAAAAGAATGCCTTAATTTTTAATTAATAAATAACAATAATTATCTTCTTAATTATCTCATTAATTAATAACATTAATTATCTTAAATTAGTGGCTTAATATGGATCTCGCAGATCTCATATTTTTTCATCTTTTTCATATATTGATATCATATTCATTAATTATCTCATTTACCTTGTTTAAACTTCTTTAATTATCTTATTCAATTTCTGATTACCTATAAACTTTGGTAAAGAGAAATTAGAACAACCAATATTCATACACGAAACAACATTATGAACTTTAAACATAAATCATTGTTTCACTTATAAACTCTAAACATAAATCATTATTTCATCTATGTATTTTCTGCTTTCACAACTCAACTTCGGTAAGAAAATTGAAACAATTGAAGTTCATATATGAAACAACTATTATAACCGGTGTTTATTAATAAAAGTGCAAGTAGGGGTATAAACGATACGAGACATTTCGCGAGCTACTCGAGATCGACTCGGTCAACACTCGACTCGAATAGGCTCGGCTCGAACTCGAGCTCGACTCGACATATTAATGAGTCGAGTCAAGCTACCCAATATTGACTCGACTCGAGAAGCTCGTGAGATACTCGATTATTTTATATATAATTATTTTTAAAATATAGTCAGTTTTTATGATAAAATTTGTAAAATATGAATAATAAAAATGTCGTATATTCTTAGATATTTAAACAAAATTATGCATTTTTTAATTATTAAATTTAATCAATTATATTTCATTAAAATCACAACTAAAAAAAACAAAAAAAAACTATAAAAGGGTTAGTGAAATTGTGCCACATTGAAATAGAGATGGTAAAGGAAAGGAGAATAGATGTTATAAAAAGAGAGGGATGTGAATGAAATTTATAATAACTTTGTCTTTTTTTAGAATGAAGTTTGAAGTTGATCCTTTTATTTTTATGAACACCTTTAAGTTTTAAAATTTATAAGAGAAAAACTCTAAAATTTCATAAATTTCAATGGGTGAGCTTGGTTCGAGCTTGATTCGAGTTCAAGTTCAAGCTTGATTTGGTTGCAGTTCGAGCTTGATTCAAGTTTGAGTTCGAGCTTGATTCGAGCTTAGTTGGAGCTTGATTCGAGCTTGATTTGAGTTCGAGGTCGAGCTTGAGTTATAGTTATCGAGTTCGACTCGAACTTTGATTTTTACTACTCACAAGTTTTCAAGTCGAATTCGAGTTTGGAAATTGGGTTTCGAGTCGAGTATAGTGATATTAAAGTTCGACTCGCATCATTTACACCCAGTGGTTGTTTAGGAAGAACCTTGAATATGGAAGGATCATTTGTGTGGGAAATTTACATAAATAGTCATTAAAATATTCTTTTCACTTTTTAGTCATTTTACAAAGAATTTTATGCAGAAAAATGATTTTTTGCGTAAAGTTTATTTTCAGGGTGGAAAAATTAAAAATGGAACTTTAAGCAAAAATGGGGGAGTGTACCCTAAAAAGGGTATTTTACTTACAAAAATCTATTTTCTGCGTAAAGTTTTTTTTGTGTGTAGTCTCATTTTTTTTTCACATAAAATGCTTTTTTAACTTATTTTTTCTTTTTTACATGAAATAAACTTTATGCAGAAAAAATATTTTCTGCATAAAGTTTATGTGTAAACTATTTTTTTAACTTATTTTTCTTTTCTCTTGATCTGAAAATAAATTTTAGGCAAAAAATCATTTTCTGTGAAGGTTTTTGTAAAATTTGGATGTGTGAGGAAATGGGTTTCTAAGGGGCTGTTTAATAAACGTTTACTCGGGTAAATGCTTACCAAATAACATTACCTCACCGGATGAATATAGTAAGGAACAAGAATCTTACCCGGTAAGAACGAGACAAGGATGAAGGGTCTTACCCGGTAAGTGAAGACAACGACTCTTACCACGGTAAGCGCTTACTAGGTAAATTATTGTATATTATGTTGTTTTATTGGACTAAAATCTTACCCGATAAGTACATAATAGTGTTAAATTTTACCGATAAACATTTACCGAATAAGTGTTTGATAAATGGTCCCTAAGATAGCTAAAAAAATTAATGTCATTTTGTGAAATGGCTATTTGCATAAATTTTCCCCATTTTTGTAACTAGTGGTCCACATGGAAATTTACCAAAATAGTCATTTTACAAAATTGATTTCACTTTTTAGCTATTTTAAAAACTTTTTTTATAAATAGCCAAAGTTTATAATAAAACTTTATACAGAAGGGTAGTTATTTAGTAAAGTTAACCATTAGGCCTTGGCCCCTCCTTCCGTAAATGTCTTGCCTTGGACGTGTCCACCCGGGTTCGATTTCAGGGGAGGACAAGTTGTCTTTTCCGGTGCTTGCTTATGAGGTATGGCAAGTAGGGTTCACAAAATGTGGACCACGAGGCCATGATGTCCCCGCCATTAAACCTTTTTTTTATTTAGTAAAGTTTGTTTTTAGACAAAAAATAAAATAAAAATGAAAAGGTAATTTACACAGAAAAAACTTTTACGAGTGAAAAATGAAGAAAATGAGACTTTACGTGAAAAATTCCTTTTCATTTCTTATAGATTAAAAAATTTACATGTATATTAATTAAAATACATAAATAACATGTTTCTTTTTTATAAATTAGACCATTATAACCATGTCGTCAATACATTTAAAATGAGACAAATATTGAATATGTTTTTATTTAATCTTATATTATTAAGTTTCTACGAATTATTTTTAAAACTTACACTTTCTAACCCTATTATTATTTATTTAGTATGTAATTATAAGGGTATAATATATAATTATTAAAATAATTCGTAAGTTTTATAATATTTAATA